AACATGGGATGTTGATTCTAAATCTTTGCATACAAATAATTTAGGAATACCTTTCTGTTGTATTTCCTTCGGCTGAATCAATTCCATATGCTTTTTGTAACTTATGTATAAACGTTCCAGGTGGTGTATGACTTATTTTTTCTTCAAAGAATTCTCCAGGAAGTTTAATATTCTCTCCATATACCATTTCCGCTATAGTATATTTAGCATCGTTGCGGATTGCTGTTCGTAGGCCTAAAAGAACCGTGGGTAATGTTTCACTTCAAATTTTATTATTATGGGCTTTTAAAGCAGCCTCTATTGATCTATGGAGTCGTTCTACCTTGCCGTTGCACTGCGGGTGATAGGCTGCTATAGTGTGTGAAAGCTTAATGCCGCAGATTCTTGACAGGGTTTGAAATACTTCAGATGGAAAATTGAGTTCCTCGATCAGTTATTAGATGCAAAGGTATTCCAAATCTTGCTATCCAATTGCTATAGAAAGCGTTCGCTACAGTTTCTGCTGAGATGTTTTCGAGCGAAATAGCTTCCATCCAATTTGTGTATCTATCTATACATGTTAGACAGTAGGTGTTACCATTTGATGGTGGTAATGGACCAACAAGATCAATGTGTATTTCTCAAAATCTTTCTAATGGCTTTTGATATTCGCCAATTATTGATTTCGTATGCCGGAATATTTTAGATTTTTGACATGGAATACAAGATTTCGCCCAATGCTGAACATCATTTTTGATATTTAACCAAATAAATTTTGAAGAGATTAAATTTTACTGTTGATTTGATTCCAGGATGGGATAATCCGTGAAACTGATGAAATATTTTCATACGATAACTCTTGGGTATATAAGGTCTAACATGCTGTGTTGAAGTAACATACCATAATCTTTTTCCAGATGAAAGGGAAAACTGTTTAAAAGTCAAATTTGTAGATTTCCGCAATGCTTTAAATTCGTCATCTCGCTCTTGTTCTTCGTCAATTTCGTCATAATTTATTAAGGCGATTCCTTCTATTCTGGATAATGTATTCGCTACTACGTTATTCTCTCCTGTAATGTACCTAATGTCTCTTGTAAATTCTGAAATGTATTGGAGTTGCCTAATTTGTCTTGGAGATGCTTTTATCTGGTTTTTGTGAAAATGCATATATTAAGGGTTTGTGGTCAGTATACACTATGAATTTTCGTCCTAATAGATGTTTGAAATATTTAATGGAAAGATAAATTGCGAGAAGTTCACGATCATATGTACTGTAATTTTGCTGTGTGGCGTTTAGTTTCTTGGAAAAAAATCTGATTGGTTTCCAACTACCATTTTCAAATTGTTGTAAAACTGAACCGACTGCCGAATCCGAAGCATCTGTGCACAACGAAAAAGGTAAGTCTGGATCGGGGTGACAGAGAAGAGCAACATTTGCTATAGCTTGTTTACATTCTTCAAATTTCTCAATTGCCTCCTCCGTCCAAGTTATTTTCCGATTATCTCTTTTCTTTGCGCCTTTTAGGTAGTCGTGTAAAACAGCTTGAGTACTAGCGGCGTTTTTCAAGAAACGACGGTAGAAATTAATCATTCCGAGAAAGGTTCGTAGTTGATGAACAGTGTCAGGCAATTTAACATTCAGAATATCTTTTGCTTTGTCAGGAAGAGGTTTTGATCCATCAGGTGTAATTAGAAAGCCTGAAAATTCCAATTCATTGACTCCAAAAACAGATTTAGAAATATTAAGTCTTAATCCATATTTTTGTAATCTATCAAAAACCAATTTTAAGTGCTTTTTGTGTTCCTGTTCATTATTTGATGCAATTAAAACATCATCCAAATATGGAAAAACAAACTTTAGTCCTCTAAATACTTCATTATTAAATCTCTGAAAGGTAGAAGGGGCATTACGTAACCCAAAACTTATGACGTTAAATTCATATAGTCCGAAGGGAGTTATAATGGCAGTTTTTGGCTTATCATTTTCATGAATAGGAATTTGAAAATATGCTTTATGCAAATCAATTTTAGAAAATATTCGAGTATTTTTTAAGATGTGGTTGAAATCTTCTAATCGGGGTATAGGATAACGATCTGGTATTGTTTGTGCATTCAAACGTCGATAATCCCCGCAAGGTCGAAAAGAACCATCTTTTTTTAGAACCATATGAAGAGGACTGGCCCATTGTGATTTAGAGGGACGAATAATATCATTTTCTAACATATATTGGAATTCCTGTTTTGCTATTTGTAATCGTTTGGGATCCAGTTGTCTAGCTCTGGTATAAACAGGTTGTCCTCTAGTCTTAATATAATGCTCAACACCATGCTTAAATGTTGATACTGATAAATTCGGTTTTGTTAAATCTGGATATTGTTGTAACAAATTAGCGTATTTAGAATTTTTATCTAGAGTACTAATAGCATGATCAGAAAACACTGTTGTTACATTACTTCGAACAGATAGGTTAGTTATTCCATCAATTAATGTCTTATTGTGAATGTCAACTGAAAGTTTAAATTTATTTAGAAAATCAGCTCCTATAATAGCGTTATCAACTTTAGCTAATATAAACGGAAATTGAAATTTTCTTCTAAGTCCTAAATTTAAAGTTAAAATTTTAATTCCATAAGTAGGAATTTCCGTTCCATTAGCTGCATATAATTAAAATCATCTACTTTTGTAGTACATTTAGTCGCAGGAATGAGACTAACATCAGCACCTGAATCTACTAAGAACCGCAGTCCTGTGTTTTTGTCTTTCACAAATAAACGAAACTTGCGGCTGTCGTTGATACCAGCAACAGTAGTAGCCGCTAATCCTGTTGCCGTATGGGGTTTTCCGACTTCTCTGGCCAAGCACATGGCAAATAACATTTCTCAGGTCGACAACGATCACCAAACTTAAAATGAAAAAAACAATATTTACCTTTTCGGATTAAATCTCCTTTTCGAACGGCTACGACTCCGAGATGTATTCTGGTGATGATATCTAAATCTTGGTCTAGAACGATTACTTATTTGCATTGAGTTAATTTTTTGTTCTAAGGCAGCTATTTTTGCAAATAGAACATCATTAACGTTTGGCAAAACAGCATAAATCTCTTTTCCAGACTTCATATCATGAATTTTGTCAGCCATCATGGACAATTTCTCTAAATTTTCGTCACTGACGAGAAGAATATTCTTTATAAAATCAGGCATCTTATCCAACCATAAAGATTTTAGAACTTTTTCAGGAAAATCGTCTGCGGCTAGACTTTTCATTTGCAGCAAAAGTTGACTTGGTTTATAATCTCCGAGATCTAATCCAGTTATCAAACGCTGAATTCTCTTATTTTCACTTTCTTTGAAAACATTTAAAAGTCTTTCTTTCACCATAGAATATTTATTAGGCTTAGCGTCTTTAATAATGTCCCATATATTTTCAACATACTTCGGTTCAAGCTGGGTTATCAAATAGTTGAATTTAGTCTCTTCAGTCGTGATTTTATTTATTTCAAATTGGGCTTCCACTTGGAACACGCCAAAACGGTGGAATTTTAATGCTTACTTTTATTCGCTTTGGCATCCATTAACGTAGTTGCTTCTGTTACTTTTTCTGTAGTCATGTTAAATAAACAAGTCGAACGCTCCTGAATCACCAAATATAACAAATATAAACAGTACGCCTTTATGGATCTTCATTTGGTACAATATAATACAATGCAAATAAATTCTTACTATAAAATAAAAAGATTACCATATCAACATCAAATATAATTTTTTATTCACCAGCTCAGTAGTCAAAAATCTCATCTTCTATATTTTAATAAACAAATCGAATTCTAAAGATAAAAACTGTTGCCAAAAACGATAATACAATAATATGCAAAGTAAACATTTATAATTATTAAAGTATTATGAGTATTAAAATATTGTGAGTTACTTTCAAACTAATTATTTATATTTTATGCCGTTACAGAGTATATTTCAATCAACTACAAAATGATTAAATACTCCATTCATCAGTTTGTGTTTATGTGGTGTATTTAATTATGGCAAAGCACACTAGGGCTATCTGCCTAAGAGGAGGGATGCCTTTCGTGGAGGACTTTCTAAGGTAAACTGGCTCGTATACACGTTAAACATGGGAAAACCATGAAAACACCCATGCAGCCAGCCCGTTCGCGTTCGTGTTTATGAAATGTGTTTTGAACTGCCATATGCGAGACACTTCCATTCTGCATCGAAAATTTACAGAGGTCATGAAGTGTCATTTGCTTCACACATGTTGAACTGTGGGAAATCCTTTTAATCCATTTCTGATTCCTGCCTTTTAATATACAGCCTTATGTTTATCCAAATGACTTTCTTTCAGTCAGTGTATTAAATTACCGTTATTTCAGTGAAACAAATGCTGGTTCAGTGATTTTAATTTTGTGTGAGAAGTCTTCGTTAAAATTCCTACAATTTTATTGTTTTGAGATAAAAACGTAGTACATAGTGTTCAAAGAATGAAAATGCAAATATTCCGTTATTTTCCTTTAATGGTTTTGCATTTACTAATTTTGATGGGGCATTTTATTTGATATTTTCTGCTAATAGAGTATGTTTAAATGTTTTCATTACTGTGAAATAATTAATTAGATTAACTTAAATGTTATTTTGAAAATGGTTTATGTTAAATGTTTTTCATTATTATTAAGTAAGAGATTTTTAATTAAGTACTGCTTTTGAAATTTAGGTATCTAATGTTGTTCATATTAGATTTTAAAAATTTAGTGCCATTTTTATGAAAAATGATTGAAGTTTTACGATACTAAAAGATTTAGTTTTTCCTAATTGTTTTAATTAAATAATGAATTTAAAGATTAATAATTATTTTTTGTGAACGTTACTAAAATGACTGTAGTAATAATTAGAAATGAGATTTCTGTTTAAAAATTTTAATTTTAAGTATTTTTAATTATTTTAAGAATAAGATAAAAGTGAAAAATGAATGAGTTAATTTTGAAAAACTGATATATTAAAAATTTTAGGTCTGTGATCCACTAAATATGTGCAAAATAGGGCAAGATGGAGAGTTTCCATGTAACGGTATCACCTTGATCAAGTAGTAGCAAGCTACAACATAAACATTTTCAGTAATAATGCGATGCCTCACTTTCGAAACATTTTAGAACACAACACTTGAAGGGAATTATCTGGATGTTTTTATGGAAGGCAATTTCGCATCCAAATAGCAACTTCCTCATCATTTTCCATGTACACCTCACTTTCATAGCACAGACCTGACCTGATGTCTGAATATGAAAATGTTTGGAATTCAGCTCTAAAGCATTTGAGAAGGGGTATGCTGCATATATGTGACCTTTAAATATACCTGGCTGATAAGAAATTTTCGTTTCATCAATTTTTTGAAATCATACATAAATTCAGATATAAAAAGGTGTTATCTGATTTTCGAAAATCATAGGCTAAGAAGTTAACAATGAAGACTTTCACAAAAGTGGGCTCAGCAAGTAAGAATTACAACTTCAGAAGCAGTTACAAAAGGCGATATGAGAAGAAATGCCTTCAGAAAAAGAAGAATGACGCCAAATTAATGACGTAGTTAGCTCGCCAGAGGTTTTATACTAAAGTAGGTGCACTTCTAGAAACGAGCTATGATTGGTCAATATTAATTTTAGTTACCGTTTTCAAGCAGTGTTACATAACATCTAAAGATCTCGAATTTGAGAGAACAGGTGAATTTAAGGGAAGAGCACCAAATTTAAAATGTTAATTTTGAGGTCGTCAATTAGTTTTTAAAGCAGCTATCATATTTTTTTACATATATATAGTAGTTTATTATCTCTTAGATTATTTAATATGTTCTGTCCTTTGAAAAAAAGCAGTTAAAATTATATATATCATAAAGGGTGACTGTATTTTTATGTTTTTATATGTAACTTTATTCATTATTATACTTAAGATAGCAAGCAAAACTAATAATAGCAAAACTTTTAATGTAATATTTAATCAACTTCATATATTCAGAGAAATGACACTTATAATGTTTTACAGTTTTGAAATGAAAAGCTTTAAAGAATTCTTTCTTATAAATGACAAATAACATTGAAATAGTATAATCAGTAATGCAACTAGTATAAAAATTATCACACTGAGTTTTTAAGCATTTTTAATTATTTAAAATTTCTTGCCTTTAACAAAACAAAATCATCAATAATCTTGATCAATAATCAATCAATCAAAATCTACTTGATCACGTAATTCCAGTGTTCTTTAGAATGGCTGTGTGTGGTGTTGTTGCGACTTTTCTCACTTGTTTGACAGTAACATCAAAAGAAGCCCATAAAATTCATTATGGCGAGGAGTGTAAGATTGTACTTGTCTTTTGGCAAGAGCCTTGATCATCCTGCAGATGACAGCATGACTTTGCTCAGTTCAACCCCCAGTTAGAATGGTCAGCATCCCAGGAATACTGGTCCGAGGGTCTCCAACCCCTCATTTCCACTTCACCAACATCCCAAGAGGATTTTTGGCTTGCCGCATAATTAGAGTGCCAAACATCCATGCCTTCTCTGGGATTCGAACATAGGCCGTCCAGTGAGGCAGTCAGCATTGCTAATCACTTAAATTGAGTTTACGAAGGAAGTGTCAATAGTATTGTGAACTTATTTAATGCATTTATTTTATACTATTGTTTATATATTGTTTCCTTGAAATGCTTGTTACCTTTTTTCTTATATAATATTTGTATAAGCAATATCAAATTTTGTATGATTGATTTGGCAGCATAGTATAGTAAAAACACTGTTCTAAAAATTAAACATAATGTTACCTCTTGTTAGCACTTCGCACACTGTAGATGGTAATATATGCTTTCTTAGTTGCTTACTGTTAAATTATTTGAACTTGAATATAACTCTGCGTCACTGACTGAGTAATTCTCTTTAAAGCACATTATCAAATACCAGTATCAGAAGAGTAACAATAATAATCCCATTTGGCTTGTATGAATTTGTAATGAGTTTTGATTTGAAGAATATGCCTTCAGCATTTCAAAGATTCATCATGGAGACTTTAGAGATTTAAGTTAATTTTTGCTTATTTAGATGGCATATTGATCGTATCATGTAACAAAAAAAGAGCACAAGAAACAACTGAATCTAGTTTTTGAACAATTAAAAAAATATAGCTTAATAATAAATTCATTAACTTTGGGAACAAAATGCAGAATTTTTACGGTATTTGATTACACCCAAAAGTTCTTATCCATTACCTCAAAAATTAGAAGCAATACTGAATTACAAACACTTCAAACCATCCAAGAACTATGGACTTTTCTTGGCATGATCAACTTTTATCATTGTTATTTAAAAGATGCTACAAAACCCAGTTATTTTACATGACTACTTTGAAAGTTCATAAAAATCAAAAGAAAAGCCAATGGAGAGAGGAGGAATTAAAACAGTTTGCAAAGTATAAGCAAAATCGTGCTAATGAGCATGTTTTTAAGTGCTGACTTGAACTAGTTTCCAATGAGGTGAAGGAAAGTTTTGTTCAATGATGATGGCAAGCATAATGACAACGAATGTGGGTAGCGTGGCAACTACCTTGAGGTGCGCATTTTTAAAGAAATAGGCTATAGCAGGAAAGTGAACAGTACTAGTTTGACCCAAATCAAAATCCAGGCGAACAGGCTGGCTACTTAAGAGATTTTACATTTGCCCTTCATTTAGCATGAAAACAAGCCATTTTCCTTAAAACATCTTCAATGAATGTTTCAAATGTCTGAAAAATAAATTTTTCATAATTTTGTTGTTTGTGTAAAAAGCGTCTATATGTAATGCTGGATCTCCAAAGTATTTTACTGCATTTTCTGCTTGTCAGCTTAATGGTACAATCATTGTTATTCTTGTTTTTCATCTCTTTTCTACCAACACTGTTTTCTATGTTTATGTTTTAAATATCTGAAGCTAGGTTAGTGGTCTGCAAAGATTCTATTCACTACTTGCAAGTAAAGCAGTGGAACTGTTTTTATTCTTTCTTTGTTATCCATGTTCTACCAACATTATTTGCTCTATTTATATTTAAAACATCTAAAATTTTTATCTGAATCATCTTCAGCAACCAATGCATAATGAATTATTTCTGAAGATCTATCTACTACAGAAATGAAACTACTACAAAATATCACCTGATCTGTTTCAAAAGTTTAACCGGAATCAATATATGCTGACTTACCTTCAAATATTTATTGCTTATAGAATTATCACTATAAGAATCATTAACGAGTTCTTCGTCAATTCTTTATTTGATGTTTTGACCTCATTTAGAATTTCTTTTGGTGCTCAGCTGCACCTTGCCATCCTACCAGTACTGAAAAAAAAATTTAACAGGTACTGTCAGAATATCGAAAAGTATGATTATTTAAAAAAAATCAAACAAAGCAAACATTGTGAAATAAACACAAATTTCTCCGAAACTTTGAAATCGTAAGCTAGATTATACAAAATAGCACTTTCAAAATGCACAAGAAATTAAAAAACTGGAAATCATAAATTTATCCAATAACTAACATCAGCTAAAATGTATTAAAATGAGATATTTTTTAGTAAGTTGAGAATGAGATAAGTTGAATCAGAAAAAGTAATGAAGACACCTGGTTCCTAGTGGAACTAATAATATTTATTGTTACATTTTTGGAATACTGGAACAATAATGCTTCAGATGGTAAAAAAATATTTCCCTGTCAACCACAAAAGTCAGTGATCTTTCAAAACTTGTGCCAATCATTCCAGCAGAAACTTAAGGAAAAGCTAGCTCTTTATTTACTTACATAATGAAGAGATACAAATTATGAATATAGCTTATAAAAAAATTAAAATGATCTCAAGCTTTTAAACTGTGAATCAAATTCATCAAAAACTGCTGCTGTTATCATAGTTGCCAAAAATTCCTAATGGCATTTCAGATAGAGAGGGAGAAAAATTATATATTAATTCAGTGTCATATAAATTTGCCTAAAAACAAATCCATGTGGTTCCACTGTTTTTTATTGTGCCATTTTCCTGAACCCTATATATAAGTCAATGCTGTGACTTTTTTGCATGCTCCAATTTTGGGAGTGGTGATTAATTTTAAAATGTTGATTTTGCAGCTCATAATTAATTAGTTTCTATAGCCTTCCAAGTATCCAAATAAACTGAAGATCCAACTTCTGCATCAGAAGTGGGAAAACTTCATGATACTAGCAACAGCATGTTAGAATTTAAGAAAGTTCAACAGCCACAAGTCCATATATAACTGATGGCTGGTTTCAGCAAGTATAAATGACCATTGAAATAATAATAATAATAAGTGAGAAAATAAAGGTAAGGTGGGTTTTCTTCAACTTCATAGCCATTCATCCATAAATAATGAAATAAGTGATGGTGCATGCTATGGAGATATTATTTGAGAAAGGCAAAGTATCATAAAATAAGGTTGCTAGGAATTACAAAATTCTTCTGAGAATGTTTTCATGTTGCAAATGATTACCAGGTCTAGTTCTCAGGTAAAAGTCCATGGTTTGAATCCTAGTGACAGCACACTTCATTTTTTTTTTTTTTTTTTTTTTTTTTTTTTTTTTTTTTTTTTTGTGTGTGTGTGTGTGTGTGTTTCCTGCTCTGAAAAGGTTGATTTTTCCAGTTGTACTCGAACTAAAACAGTGGTGAAGGATTATCATCTGAAGGATTTTCCCACTTAAGGAGATGTACTCCTGTTGCACTTTAAGTGGGAAATGTAAAGAAATATCACATCATTTTTTTCCCATCCTCTCATATTATAAAATGATTAACCCACCCAGCTAGCTATATGATAATCTGTGCTTCCTCCTGGTCCATAAAATAATAATAATGGTTTCTACTGCAATACAAGGACCAACATACTGAGATTAAATAATTAAATTGCATGCAAAATGAATGCACTCACACTTTGTGTTTTCTATGACCGCTACATTAAAATTTTCAGATCTCTTTAAAAATATTTGAAATTCTGATCTTATATGCAGTTATTTAAATTTTAATACAGAAATTTCGAGAAATTCAAAATTTTGAAAGATTAATTTTATCAATGCCCAACACAACCATTAATTAAAACAAAAGAAATGCAACTATTCCAATTTCAGTAGGATTTTAATCATTTTAATCATCAATACGACTTCATTTAGGGTAAGACTGGCACAATGTCTGTCTAGCATCCAACAAAATATGTCACTATTTAAGAACAATGATCTAAGAAGTGCACTGAGATTTCTAAAAAGAAATCTTAAAAACTTTCAATCTCAACAATTTTGGAGATATATAAACTACTTCTAGCTGGTCCTGGAAATTTCTAACCCATCCTGTCATAGTGCATGAATTCTGCATCACATGAATGAAAGTATATTTAGAAAAGCAGCATTCTTAAAATTTGGTTTCCATTAAAGGATTATTTCAAATTTTGTGTTATTAAAATTTTCAATAATTTTTCCATAATAATTAATTTCTTGATTAATCTGAGATTCAAAATTCTTTCTCATATAAATCTGATTTACCCTTACCTTTTTCCATTGTAATTTAAATGTACTACATATTCACAAGATTTGAAGTATATTATCACCACATTGTAGTGATAATGCATGAAGTTCATTTTAAAAATAATGCACATAGTAACTGCATAGCAAAGTGGGTGACATAATCATTACAAAGTTTGCATCTCCAGTAGCAGTTTTGTATCTAAATGAAAGGCAAAATAGAATAGAAGACATGAATAGTTATGTCAAGGGACATCATGAATTTTTTACAGATGAAAATCGCCGATATATTCTGCATCACATGAATGACAATAAGTATATTTATTGGATATAAAGTACCACACATCTGTATGCCGAAATTATTATTCTTTTTTTTTTTTTCTACTTTAAAGCATATAGAGAAACAGTCTTCCTGCTCTACTCCACCTAATTATGCTTAGAAACTAAACAGTAGAATAGTACAATCAAAAGTCGTTAATCCGGACTCGTCGGTACTTCGGCGATTCCGGACTATAGATCATCAGTTTAAATCTGGTAAGATGGCATGCAGAAATTATAAAATTAAAAATATGAAACCGTAATTTATGAAATAAAGAACAATTATGATCTAAAGGGTATCAAAATTTACAAAAAAAAAAAAAAAAAAAAAAAAAAAAAAAAAAAGCTTAATATTTATTTGTTTACTTTATTAAACATTTCTTTCAATGTAAGCTGTTTAAGTTGCTTCGTTTTTTATGTGATAATACTTTCTCTTTAATTCAATAAACAGACATAATTTCCTGTTCAGTTACAAAGTTCCGCTGTTCAAGTCCTATAATGGCTGTCTCGAGAATACCGACTAATTTGTCAATCAAAATTTTTTCGTTTTCAGTAACATGCGTCACTTTCTTCGCTATCAGTAGTGAATTATAATGACGAGGAATTTGATTTAAATCATATCAAAGACAGAGTACATCGATATGAAATACTACATTTAGTAAGGAATAAGCAAAATAAAATAAAAACATCTGCCCTGAAGGTAAGGATAGTGCTGACAGATCAACTTCCAATTCATCACGTGCCCGAGGCGTCTCCCCCCCCCCGCCTCAGAGCAGCGTGAAATTTATAAACAGATTTCGGAATGGTTAGATAAACAAAGGATATGCATTTTTTGCAGCAATTCCACTTTTTGTTTAATGGACTTCGAAACATACTTTCGCTTCAGATCCTTTACATATTAGTAAATATATATCAGAAATTCTATTTGACATAATCAAAAGTTCAAGCTTACTTTTATAAAATTGCTCTAACAGTCTGCAAAAAATAATAAGCCGGATCCAATTCGAAGATTAAGGAACAACGCAATCTGCAACATTAACTGAATTAGATAATTTTAGCTTAG